GGGTGCCGGGGAAGGTGGGTAATGCCCGGCTCGGGGGCAGCGCCCGGCGGCTTCTCGTTAGCGCCGTCTGCTCGGGAGTCAGCCCGTGAGGGTCCGTCCGCCCCCTGCGGCTCTGTTCCCCCGCCGAGGTTGGGGGGGCTTCCCCTCCTCGTTGCTTTCCCACTGCAAACTTCGTGAAGGGTCAGAGGAAATCCATGGGGGTAAATGGTACCGCAGCGCACAGCTCAGCCTGTTTACCCCGTTTTTATAAAAGGCGTGCCTAATCTCCTAGTCTGGTGTTTTAAAAGCAGAGTGGAGTTTACTGTGTGAATAGCCTTACACAGAAAAAGGAATGGCTTAAACTGTGAGTAGCTTGAATTTTATTGTGTCTCTCCTTAATGCTGTTTCCTTACCTGGGTAAGATACCAAACGCGGTACATCTAGTTGGAGCAATAGAAACTACCATTCAGAACCAACAGCACTGCAAAACTCAAGCACTGCAGATGTTTTATTACTAAGCTTATTATGAAATGTGCAAACAGTCAGTACTCCTGTGCTGTTCTCTGCAAATTAGTGTGGCAAGTTTTACAACTATTGGATTTGGCTTTCAGTTTTAAACAGATCAGGAGAGTGTAGGGCTGAACGGAACGTCCTGGTATCACTAGTAGCTTTAGGGTGTAATCTTCTTTGGAAATTGATCCAACTCATCTTGAAATCCAGTCTTGAAGAAAGTGAGGGTTGTCGGCCTTATACGCTCCTCTGCACCTCCTTACTATGCCTGTGGTAATATAACTATGCCTTACTATGCCTGTGGTAATACAGTTGCATTTCTTATGATGTGAAAAATTGATGTGGAAACACTGAAATGCTAAATGCCATTGATGGTACAACTCTTGGTAGCTCTTTTGCTCCTTTACCCTCTTTCAGTAAGTGCCCACTTGTTTCTATCAGAAGTTCATAATGGTTTCATATTGGGGGTTGATGAATGTTAAGTTTTAATATTGTTGGGTTCTTCTAAATTTCAAGTAGAAGCAGGATTGCAGGAAAAATGCATCATGTTAATAGCAGATGAGAAGAGCATCTTTTCAGCTCTTACTGAGTATGATTGAAAAGTGTGTTATTAGCTTTTTCAAAATTACTGGGGCCAATAGAGCGATTTGATACTGTGCTAGACATGTGTAAGCAATACCTTGCTGAAAATAGTTGGTTTAAAGTATTTGCTGATATTTATTTATCTAAAGACTACCTCAAAAAGCTGCAAGAGTGGAGTTCTGATCATTTGTAATTACTGTCAAACTGAATGGTTAAGACAGTAATTTGGGGGAAGCCAGAAGACCACTGCTAAAAAAACTAATGGTGAGGAACCAGCCTGGATATAGTACTTATAGTACTTCCCCCCCGCCCCCCCGAATTACAAAGTAGTTACACTAAACCTCCCTCCACACCCAGCCTTCCGCTAGCTCAAATACTGTATCAGCTGACTGAATGGTAATCAATGACTATGCAGTTTGGGTGGTAAAGTGTCTGCTCATGTATAATCCATGAAGTTCTGTATCTTGATCAGACTTTACTGGACAGCTGTAAGAGGATACTGGGGCAGAAAACAGTGTAGTTGAAGCCACCTTTGACTTACTAACTTTGTTCATTGTCCTCAGGGCAAAGAAAAAGTATGTAATCAGAAACTTCTTATGTGTCTTTTAAGTAACTTCGGTTCAGCAACATGAATGATTTTTCTTTTAAATAAAAAGAAATTCAGGTAAACAACAGTTCGTTTTAATGTGAAACAAGTTATAGTTGAAACCAGCTTGGAAATAGGGGAAAACTTTTATAGCTGAACTGTTCTTCCAGCTCACATTAAACACTGTGTTCATACCTGATCCTTGAATTGAATTAAAATACAGCACTCTTTGTTTGTTTAAGTAAAGCATGAAATCCTGGACTTGGTACTTAATGTACTTAAACAGCATCTTGTTACGCATATATGAAATCACCTCCTGAAATCGGTCTTGCAAAACATTTATGAGTATCTGTGAACCAACCATAGAGGCTGGGTGACTAGTTTCTTCTCTGCTACCATCATAACTTTCTCCTTTGTGAGCATCATGGTTCTGTACTTGCTGCTAAAACTTCTAAGAGATATAGATACACGATACTTCTGAAAATCATATTGTGCACTTTCCATGCAAGTACTTTTTCTTAAAACAAATTCCCTGTATAGGTTCCTTAGAAGAAAAATTAGCTCTTCTAATGCATATCTTGCAAGGAATGGTTTGGAAGCTTTTTGTTTAATTCAATAATCTTCTATACTAAAATGAACACCTGTCACAAACGGAAACATTACTTATCTAATAAAATCTTCTGGTACTAAGGAAACAACCCAAAATATGGGTTTCTTTTGTCCAAGAGATTATGTCTGTCTTTGAAACTTGGAGGTACTAGTATAGTCATTGCAGATGAATAAAATTAGTAGCTTCATGAGAATTGTTATATTTTAGTCAAAAGGATGAAGTAGGTGTGATTGTTCACTGGTTTTGCTATTTTTCTGGAAAGAGTTGTCTTCAGTGTGCATTTTGGCTTCTTTTACTTTAGGAATTAAACCACTGATTTTTTTTTTTTTTTTTTTCTTATGTGATCCAAGAGAGGACTTGCTTACTATGAATGAGACGATGTAATAATGAAGTTTTTACCCTGGGAGTAGAATCTGGAATGGACACTGTACAGTGTGTTTACACTGGAACATAAAAATTTGAATTTATTGCTTTATTCCTTCAAATTGAAAAGTTTTAGGAAATCAAGCTTAATTGTCTCTAGTACTTTAAACTGTGTAAAAAGTACGTGAAATTTGATTTCTATTTTGTATCATCTTGGTCAGTGGAGGCAAATTGAATAGTATGTGGAGAACAATGTAAAAAGTACTTGAGACAATACTGAATATTTGGGATAATATTTGAGATTGAGAGTTTTAATAGACTAACATTAAAAAGTATGCGAGACTTGTATGCTGCTGAACTAGAACAGGTCATCAGATAAACAACTGGAATGATCCTGAGTTTGTTGCAATGTGCTTCAGCGTGTGTACATCAAAATTTTAGTTTGGAGTAAAAGTGCACTTAGGAACTGAATCTTCTGATCACCTCCACTTAACTTCGCTTTGGTTTGTGTTGCATAGCTGTCCCAGAGCATGCAAGCTGGATTCCTTTTGGGTTAAACTGCATAGGAAGATAGATCATATCTGATGTGCTCTTCAGGCCTAACAACTGTGGAGTCCCTAGGACATGATTAAAGCTGGTCTGAAGTAAATACTTTAAATACATATGATCTGGATGCAGGTTTCACTCCACAAATCTGCTCTTACGTGTCCTGCATTCTGCATATATAGCTGTAGCTTCTTCTGTGGGTACTAGTCAGAGAAATTTTTCAGACTATTCACTTTCTTGTATACTCATCAAATCTGGGGGGAAAAAAGAAAGAAAAGAAAGAGGAGGAGGAGGGGAAAATATTTGAGATCATTGAACCCTCTGCTTTTAAATTTTTGAAGACAAAAGTATTTTTTTCCTGATCTATATGTAATACATCTCTTGTTAAAGTTCTAAGTTTAAATGCAAACTGTTTCAGTATACTCATAATTTATACCACTGACTGAGAATGTTGTACTCATTTTTTTTAAGAAGTTATTATTTTAACTGGTGGACTTTTCTGTCTATCTTTTTTTTTTTTTTTCCTGAAATTCAAATTTATTTCCAAATTTCTTCCTATCTGCAATGCAGATAAAATTTCAAAAATCTAAGTCATATTCCCTCATTCTGTAATGCATGTGAACTAAAGGTGGACATGTGTGTTATGTAATTGTATCAGTTTTTGCTGACCATTAGGTTGCTGTAGTAACATCAAATTATGCTAGCCTATAAGTTGTCTTTTATTTTTAGATATTTTCTTCAGTAAAACTAAGTGACAGTAGTTACTTAAATGGCTATTAAATTAATTATTTAAGTATTTTAATTGAAGCCATTTGGATTTTTTCCCTTTTCTGTTCAACCTAATACTAATTAACTTTTAATGAGTTTGTAACTTTTGCCAGTCTTGGAATATAAAACACTTCATGACACCATCAAACTGGAGATGTATATCAGAAGTTTGTGACTTCTGGGAAAATATCATTCTGTCTTGCAAAATACTGGCAACTCAGGAAAAATTATTGAAGCATTGACATCTATGTTTGGAATTGTTTAGCTATTTATTTAGATTTCATAAAATAGCTAAACATCCCTAATCTGAAAATCAGTGTGCTCTGAAATTGTGTGAAGTTTAGACTTTGAGCTTTTTTCTTCTTCACGTAAAATACAATAGTGTATGCATTATCACAAAGAGGAGCCCTCAACTGTGAGCAAAGTGCAAATTGAGAACTACTGTCTCTGTAAAGTATACAAACATAAAGCAGCAGTGAGGCTATTACTTCCTGTGGCTGACCTGAAAATCTCTCTACTATGCTTATCTGATTTCATTGTTGCTTTTTAAAATCCCATCGGCAGCACTCAAACTGGTAAGAATGACATGGGTTTTAACTTTGGAGCTTCTCGGGACAGGAGTGGATGCTTCTGAGCTGGCAGTTGCACTGATCAGTGATCCTCCGTGCCCCTTCTGTGTAGAAAAAATACATGTGACTTTAAGAAATGGAAGTGTATCCTATGCAAACGTTAAAACCCCCCAAAATTAAAATGCAACTTTACATATAAAAGTTTGGGGATACTTTTATACTATTAAGGCTTAAGTAGAAATATTGAACAGGATGAAACCTTTAGTGAATAATATTTCTGTTGGTAAGTTAGCTGTCAAAACCACTTTCTGTGGCTGATTAAAATAGTTAAATGGACAGTGGACTGAAATTACCTTCTGCTTCTCTTCACAGGCTGAAGAACAATGGCTTCCTTCAGCAACTTGACTATTGGCATTGCTGTTGCCAGTTTTACTGTATTTCAACTCCTGTTCCATGTTTTAAGTTCTTGGGTGTCAACGCGAATAACGCCTGGTTTTAACAATCTCAGCCAAAAAAGGAAGATCGAATGGAATTCAAGGTAGTGTTCAAAACAAACTACAGCTAGTGACCTACCTGAAATTGTCAACATCAGAACCACCTGTGTGTGTGTATATAAAACTGCAGAAAACTTTGTTAGTTAAACGTCTATAAAGATTAGAGGAATGGCTCTAGGCTTTTGTCAGATTCTGAATATAAAATGCTGAGGCCTCTTCTTTAAACACACAGCATTACAAAGACTTGTGCATTAAACATTTTTTATAGTCAGTGATGCCCAAGTGAAAGTCAATAGAAAAGGAAAACAGTGACTGATGAGAGGTAATAAACTGAAGTGGATTAATTTTAAATGGCTTCTTTGTGATGCTTCTAGTAAAGAAGTACAAAATTTTCTTCCCCCAAACATATAGGAAAATCAAAACTATTGCAATTTATTCCATGATCTAAATGCTAGTGTGTGTCTGGTCATGCTCTTGGGTGAAAAGCAAATTTCTCTGTACTCCCGGTGCTACTGCACTACAATGTGTTTTATATAAGTTATGGTTTTCCAAGAAGTTCGATGAATCTTTGGTGTAGTATTGGAGTGAGGCCGGGTTAGACGGGTATAGCTGTGTGTTGGTGGGGAAGGAGACTGCTAGAGGAGGAGAGGGAAGCTATGGCAGGGTACACATTCAGGAAGGACTTGTGGAAACAGTCTAAAAACCTTCCTCGCTCCCTTTGTGTTTCTGCAGTTCTGTCACTGGGATGGATCCACTTGCATTACTCTTGTCTCTTGTTCAACCCTGTGAGCCTTTCCTGGGCACTTTCCTCTCTCTTAAGCCATAAAGGAAGTATAGACTAGTAATTGCAAATGGGATGATCACAGAAGCTTTATTATGCAATATACTCCTTTGAAAGGGTGTATATAGTACATGCTTCTTCAGTTGAAATTAATTGATACAGTGTAACTTCGTGCTTGAGTAGCCTATTGCAACTTAAAAAAATTCTTCAGGTGTTTCTCAAATTTGAAGCTCAAAAAAGTGTACTGTATGGCTGTCACTACATTCAAAATGCATTAGTTGTATCACTGTTCCTCCTCAGTGATGTTTAAAGGCAGTATCAGGTAGATACTTTTAAAGTTGTTTTGGTTATTCTAGGCAGCATTAACAACTCAAATTGTCTTGTCCTTCTATTTGGCAAATGTCTACCTGCAGTGTTCTTGGAGGCAACATCTTAATTTCAATTTTATCTTGGAATAATTACGTATCTGCCAAAACAGCTTTGTAGGATGCCAGTTCATGATATCAGTGTAGCCTAGGTTTATCTCTGTTAGAGCCGATAATAGAGGCAGACAAGGAAACTAAACTGTTATCATGTTGGAGCTGAACTTTTGTCTCTAAGCTACGTGAAGTGACCCTTGAATTGCATAATAAGTTTTCTGAGAACTTGTCCCATGCCTGGTAGTGGTATGCTAAGTTGTAGTGCTTTGCATAATAACATGAATTGTTTCACGCATCACAAGTGTACGGCAAATAAGCTGCTCTGTAATCTCTGGGCTACTTTGTAGTAAGGTGTTTAACAACTCAGCACCCCAGGCTGTATCCTTTTTACTATTTTCCACATTTTTTTTTCTTGGGGTTGATAGAAGGATGCAGATACTGGCACACAGATAAGTCATGGTCCAGTGCTATATCCAGTTTTGGCATTAGAAAGCATGAAACACAAAGCATGTCCATCAATGGCTTGATGTTATACTTGAGGAGAGCATGAAGTGAAAGAAGGGCTAACTGTGCTTGCATTTCTACAAAGGACTGACTGTTAACTCTGCTAACCAAACACAGTGTTTTGTCAAACTGCCTCATCACTCCAGTGTTCCACCAAAATGAAGAGACACCCCAAGGAGTATCTTCCATGTTCTGAGAATGTAGATAGACATATATGTAGTCTGCAGACAGTTGTGCAGGTAGAGAAAGTTACTGTCTCCCAGTAGAATGAGTTGGGTTAACTTAAACGATTTAAAAGCAGATAGCTGTTATTTTGTCCTATATTGAACTGGTGTAGGGAGTGCTCACACAAATGGTTCTTTTGGCAATCCTTAAGGAAACTGGCACAGAGGATGGTTATGCATTTTTATCAGCTCAGCTTGGTCTAGAAGATGTATTGTTACAGTTTGGAGGGTTTTGTAATCAAGCATTTGGGCTGCAGCTCTGGACTGTGTTTTCCATACTGTCAATTTGTTCATTCTGACCTTCCAAGAATTAAGAACCAATAAAGTAATTGCTTCTGGAATCTTAAGTATGCAGATGTTCAATCTGAGTTAAAAACTATACTTTGACACAGATGTGGTATAACTCTAAATTGTTGTGTGTAAATTCCTGTCACCTCTTCTACAATATGTGTGTACTGCTATTAAGCAGCTGTGAAAATATATACGTATTCAATAATGAACAGGAATGCAACCTGTCAGTGCAACATTTTCCTTGCAGTTTAATGGGGAGTTAAAGGATGCAAGCTTTGACATTAATGTCAAGGAATTGTATGGGGCTTGATAGCTTGACCTAGATTTCATATTAATGTGGGGTGTTACACTATTTTCCTTCTTCTGCCCCCTCATCTGTGAAGAAACTTCAAAGTCCAGAGTTAAGGAGGAAATCTGCTTATCTGCTGCTTTTTTTTTCCTTTATCCCCTCCCCCCCCCGCCCCCCCCAAGTGCTGTGCTTGTGTGTGGCTTGTATTCTTAACACAAAGGTTTGGATAAACAGTCACTCTTGAGACAAATTGCAGCTGTAAACTAATGAGCTATTTACTCTTTTCAACATTATTTTCTAAAGTTCAAAAATACCAGGTATTTCTCAAACACTAATATTATATGGCATGCTTTGTTTCAACAAGGAAGCAAAGTTCCTACCTCTCTGTTAATTCTGTGTTGCAAGAATAGACATTTTAATTAAACTATTAATTGTCATTAAAAAATCTGATAACTAAATTTTCTTCACTTGTAAAAAAACAACAACAAAAAGGCAGCCTGTACTATAATGGTTAATAAATGTTCTCATCTAGCTTGTTACATTTGACTATTCATGTTATATTAATCTCCATTCATATTTTTTGAGCACTGCTGAAAAAAGCATAGTGACACTCTTTAAACAAATTGTAATAGAGATTTCTTTCATGAAAAGTTAGTCCTCTAATGCCAATAGATGATAATATAACTACTGGAAACAAACTAGGGATTATAACCTACTCTTTCTTTGCAAAGTCTTCCACAGGAAGTAGGATGTTTTCTTCAGTTCTTGCATGGTAGAGTTTAGACTACTGAGAATGACTTATGCACATTTAAAACATTGATAACTTCAAAATATATGTATTCAGTATGTACAAAGACGGATAACTAACAGTTCTATACATTTGTGTGCATATTTTTACTTCTGTGAATAAGGCGCAAAGGTGTTTCTGATCACACAGTACTGAATTTGAGTTCTTATCTTTCAAATAGTATCCATGATTCAGTAGAGCTATTTTGGCATGTAATTTTTTTTCTTCCTAGACACATTGAAAAGTGGAAAAGCAGACAGTAGCTACACAGTATTAGATGCAGTTTATAGTAGCATTAAACCCATGGCTAGAGGAACAAGGTTACACATTTTGGACCCATACCCATTGCATTGTTCTACCTTCCAAGAATACATCTGGACTCAAAAGGGCAGGAATGGCCCTGGCCTGTGTGCTGGCAGAAACCCTTCCAGGGCCTCTGTAAATAGGTAATTCTCTTTGAGTGCTTGTTAACATTCAGAGTTTATCTACAGTGTGCATGCAGCCTGTATACTTGAGACTGGTGTCTTCAGGAAAAAAAAAGCATACCCAAGTACGCTTGGACAGGAAAAAAAATACCTACCCAAGTATGGACAAGGCAACTCTGATTACTGTGACTTTATATAGGAAAAGAGGAGTGTAAAATAAAGCTGTGAGCTGCTAGTTCATATAAACCTGTAGCTGTTACACCTCAGATACTCAGCTACAACCTTTTGTTACACATTTTCTCTTTGAAAAACAGAATCTACTTCAAATGCACTAGAAATTCTGTCTGAAACTTTATTTGATAGGATTTTTCATCTAATGCCCCTCTTTCCAAAACCTGAATTTGGCAGATTTGTTAGGAGTCATCTCTTAATTTGGTGCCTGTTAAAGGAGAAACCTGCTTCTGCAGGACTCATGGGCCAGTCTGAATATGAAATGGATACAGATTTTTCCATCAAATGGGACAATAGAGTAAGTATTGGTTAGAGAAATGAATGTCATACTGTCTTTAAGCGTTCATTAATATATGGGATAGTTGGAGGAAAAAGTAGATGTCAGTTACTTTAAGACCCTACTTTATATTTAACAACTCCCTCCCTTCTCCAATTTAATAGATTCCTTTTTTTTTTTTTTTTTTTTTTTTTTTTTTTTTACTGTTTTTCCCACCTGTCATTGGATGTAGCATAAAGAAGAATCGATTGTCTTCCACAGAGGTATCTGGATGCAGTTGAGAATGTCTTTGTAAACATCCTAATTTAAGCACAGTATAGAAAGTTGTGAATAGCAGTACCTCCTTGTGACTGTGATCTCTTTTTCAGGACAGTGTCCACATTCCACGCCTTGGTGGTTGGTGGGTTTTGCCTATATATTTTGTTGTATGATGACGCTGTTAATGCTGACCGTCTCTGGTAAGGCATGTTACATTTATGTTGTGTTTACACAATAAAATAACTTAATTGGGAAGGAAAAAACTAATCCTGCAGTATATCAATTACTGAAATAATAGTTTCATTTCTCATTAAAATATGCAGTTCTGATGTGTCCATTTTTGTCTGTACTATTTGATAATTCCAAATTATTTTGTCACTATTAATGTCATAGTGCATTGCATCTCTCTGAAGTGGAACAGATAAAATACAAGCAATTGATTTGAAATAGCATATTAAATCACTAAAGCATAGAACCAAGAATGTAACTGTAAGTTGGCATGACTGAAACTATGCTATTTAATATAATCATTTAAAAATGAAATTGAAACGCTAGTGCAGGTCTGGAGTGTTTGTGTGTATGGGAAAACGCTGGAGGGGACTATTATATGTTTAAAATACATATGTATAAATTGATAAATTAGGTTGTTTATGTTTCTGCCTCTCATAAAGCTTCTATCAATCTGTTTTTTAAAAAGTATGGAAGTTTTCAAGTGTTGTCTTCACAAGTAAAAGGAATGTTTAATAAATGCACTTCTAATATTTTCTCTAGTTAACAAAATATTCTATGTTGTTTATCTTTTCTGATTTCTAGTTACATTGTTTCACACTTACTTGAGGAAGGAAGAACAAGATAGCTTCATTTTAGTTGAGTTAGTTATAGAATGCTATTGGTGTTTTGACATTTTACTCATTATCCTCTGGAAATCTTCCCTATAGAAGGAGGAGGCCATATTTTTCCTGGAGACTGACTAACTACTTTAAGTTTCATTTAATATTTCTGTCATAGACTGTTGTTTTTAACCTTGTCAAAAGACCACACTGTGAGTCAGTTCAAACATATATAAATTTCACTTCTGATGCTTGTTCTGCAATTTTGATATTGTAAATTAATGACAATGCGCATGAACTAGACAGGATTGGGCACTTGAAGCGCTCTGCCACTGACTTGTTATGTGGCTTTAATAAATGTAACATTAATTTGTAACACTAATTCATAACACAAATTTAGGTAACATTGGCCTCTTCTGCATGTAGTGATATATGATTAGATTGTTAGCTGTTTTGATTTTTTTTCATTGCATTCTGGTGTCTTTAGAGAGACCAGTTACAGTCTGAATCTCTTATGAGATCTGTTAATCATGTTGAAAAGCAGCACGTTATTATAATTCTCTGTGTGCATTGTGGTAACTTTTATCAGATGGAAGCTTTTATCCTGGTTTCTCTTAGTAGACCTTGTTCGCATCAGTACAAAAGAAGTCACGAATGGCAGAAATAAAAGCCTCTTGGTGATGATAAATAAATTGAGTCTTCATATTTACTAGATTTTCCTGGTTTAATTACAGGAAAAAATAAAATTAAGCAGAAATTGAACTAACTTTTGTTATTAGTAAGTTTGAGAAAAGTTATGTTAGATATTTTTGTACACTGCATTGAAAAATTAATCTTGCTTATGATGCCTAAGCATCCTAGATTATGTAAAAACATTAAATCTTGAAAGACAAAATCCATCTGCCTTTGGAGGAATTTTTTTCTATATCTGTACTATTGCTCCTAAATAGTTTCTTCTTTCAGATATGTTTACAATGATTCCTATCAGTGGTTTTATTTCCATTTGGTAGAGTAAGGGAAAGTTTAGATATATTTTCACTAGATTTTTAAATATATATATATATATATATATATATATATATATAT